GTGCTCTTATTGATGCTTCCATCCGTCCGTTTTTTAAAACAAAATGTCCCATCCACGGGGCCAACCAAAGCGGTTTCATCAGCTTCTTCGTTCATGTTTGACTATTGTTCACTGTGGTTTGTTGTTGTCTGAAGTCATGAACGTTAGTTGGTGCTCCAGTATAATCGGTACCCCTGAAACTCATCCAGTGAGAAACGTTCTGCGGTGCAAAAATAAGTGCGATTAAAATGCGATTAAAAACTGCTGTCTTTAAAAAAGACAGCAGCTTCATAAGAGGGCAACAAGAGTGACGTCAGAGTGTGTCAGTGTGCAGTCTACCATCCTCTTAAAATACTCTGTCCAACAATTTCAGTCTCATGAAGAAAGGTTTTTTAACGCTTATTCAAAATAGCAGAGAAACATGCATTCTTGTTCTCAGGAGGGGACATTGACAGAGGATTGTTGGAAAAGTACACAGTAAGTACTTCATAGTACTTGTGGGGGTAGTTTCAGTAGTACTGAGTCAAACAGGATCAATCTCACGAAGAACTAATGGCAACAAAAAAGAATTCCCTCATCAAACTTAGCAGAAGTGGCTTGATTTGTTAAGTATTTCTCAAAAAGTACACAGTAAAAGTAGTTCAATGTATTGTAAGTAGTAGGCTAACTAATACAAAGTCAAACAGTATCAATTTCATTAAGAACTAATGGTAAAATCATATTTGTATCATTCATCAAAGATAGCAGAAAAACATGCATAATACTAAGGAGGGGACTATGACAGAGGATTACTCACAAAGTACACAGTAAAAGTACTTCATTTTATTTCTGGTAGAAGTCAAACTAGAACCGAGTCCAACAGAGTCAGTTTTCTTAAGAACTTGTGGTAACAAATATTTGTGTCACTCGTCAAATATAGCAGGAATAATGAAGAGCAGCTGATTTGAAAAAACAAAGTGGAGAGACGGCTGAGTGACCCCAGTGCAGAACCGCTGTATAGTTTAAATCTCCTAACAATGTTGTCCATTTTAGACAGAGGCTTATTATATTTTCAGCCCTCAATAACATTTATTTTCTGGGCTCAATATGTGTTTTGGCCATTTCGTTGTGATCGCTAAATTCACCTTGTTTATAATAATCACCGGTCCTTCAGCAGGATACTGTAGTGATTCAAAGTGTGATTTTAGCAAACGAGTGCTTTTGTTTTGAAATCACTTCCGTGAGTTTCGCCCCGCCCCTCGCTCCAATGACCATTTGACCATTTAGTAAGGTAAAAAGCAAAAAGCAAAAACGCCTCTCAGACGGTCTTCCGTTTACGTGTCTAATAAAGAAAAACAATTGGACGGTAGATACACGGATTTAGCTGATAAACTACTTATGATAAAGGCTAAATCAGTGCAAAAACAGTGACACAATTGCTTAGATTATAATTTTACAGCACATATCTTTACAGCACATCATAAAAATAGTAGTAGTGATAAAGATCAGAGTAGTCAGCATGTTTCATTGTCAGTAGAGATGCAGCTATAATATAATATTGGCAGCAAAGTTTCATGTATATTTTAATTGTACTTTTGAATGAGCTTTGATCATGGGGTGCGTAAATATTCTCAAATCAAGTGCTGATAAAGTCTTGAACCCCTGACATTTGTATTGAAGATCCAGTAAAGTCGGCTAGGCACTAACAAATCCAGAACTCTGGTTGCGTTCGGATAGTTTAAAAATCAGCTCCTAAGTTCTAACCCTATCTCCTATTCCTTGACCTCTGAGTGAAACGTCATGGGGTTAAGGGATAGTGGATAGGAGAATTCAAAAGGACTTAGGAGAAGAGACTGCGGTACTTTAGAGAATCCGAATGCACTTTCACTATCCGACGTGTTTATGATGCGCCAGCGGACGTCATTGTGTGCGTCTGCTGCTGTGGGGAAACTATGGAAACTACAGTTTTCTATACAGCGGACTACAACATGGATGTTTAATAAGAACAACGGACTCATCTAGAGACTCTGCACCGTGCTCTGATGCTGTTGCTTTATGCTTTATGAGCAAAAGAGAAACATATTCTTCATGACCAAAGTTGGAATTGAAATAAAAAAGTGAAACTTATGCTCATCACCCTCTCCCTCCAGTCCACTGATCCCAATACGTATGATTGTATGAACTATGAAAAGATCTTAAAATCAATACAAATGTATTTATTATAAACGTTAGTCTTTAACAACTACCGGTATATCTCCATTCAAACATCTTTTAAAAGTTGAACAAACCCCACACAGCTCAGTGAAATGTTGACTTTATTTGATCATTTCAGTAAAAACTAACGTTCATATTTCTCTTTGTGATTATAATACTGTTAAAAAAAAAAAGCACTTTGGCAAATTACCACATACGTTTTAAAATGCTTAATAAGCACCGTAACTTTCATGATATCATTTCTCCGTCATAATCGTTTGTGTCCGTGAACGGCCGATTGTTGTTTGACGTCAAATGCTGCGGCTGCAAGGCATTGTGGGGCAGCATTTTCTCCTCTCCTTTCGATCAGGGAGGTCCAGTGGTTCATAAGCTAAAGGAGGTTATAAAGGAAGTTTGAAACCTCCTTTCCTATCATTCTAGAGAATTCGAACGGCACTTATTATGGCTGCCACTGAGGGACTTCCGGGTCATTTCACTCCGTTAGGAAGGTTCCTAAGCTAAATGGACTATTCGACTGCAGCCTCTGTGTCTTTAAAGACAATGTGAAAGGTCAGGGGTCATTGTGACAGTGTGTGTTTGTGTGGTATCACTTTTCATTTGTGGATTTAAATGCATTACCTTCTTAAGAAGTCATTTCAATTATGTTCTCCAGATAGATCTATCGCTTTAACTACATTACAAGTCTACAATTCGTAACTTTAACCTGTACCTCTGCTTTAAGTAATTCATGGATTGCAATAAGGGTAATATGTGCTAACAGTATAGGTATATAAGAGCATGTTATCCCACAGCGAGTCCCTTGTGGTGCAAGAGCCTCGATGAAATCCCTCTATGTTCCTGCTTCCTGATACAGGATAGGTTGATTTCATTGCATCTCTTCACTACATTACCACAATGATCATTGCTCTACTGGTTTGTGTAATCTCTTAATGACTGAGTCATAGCAATAGAGCTTTTCTCTCAGCCTGACTCATTTTCCTTGTGTTGAAACTGCTCTGATGTGTCTCTGCACTGATCATTGACCTGATAAATTGCTATGAGGAAATGGTACATTTGGATTTGATAATGATTACACTGATATAAAAAGGTGATGTACTGTACAGTGAGATGGTTTTCATCCCCTCATAGAAAACTTTATTGGTGCCGTATAAAATTGTACAGCTAATATTGAGAGTTTAGCTAAAAATTGAAACTGTATCGACCCAACATAACCTAACATGCAGCTATCCCAATCTGTGTCATTTATGTATTGATGATATTTCAATACAACATGATTCTTGCTAATACATGGTCTTTCAATACGCATTTTAAACAAGCTTAGATGGCCTTTTATTCCCACCTAATACAAACTAAAATTTTTACAAAGTCAATGTTTCTGCTCTCCCTTCACAGTGTGTGTGAGCAGGGGCAGTTTAACTGCACCCAGGAGCGCTGTGAGGAGGTGAACCAGTGTCCAGGCTCTTTGGTCTACTCTCCACACTCCTGCCTCCTCACCTGCTCCAGCCTGGACCCTCCTGGCCAGCAGCAGGGGTCCAGTGTCGCATTGACGGGCTGCAGACAGCCCCTCTCTGGCTGCGTCTGTCCCCAGGGAACTGTGCTACTAGTGGGTGAAAACTCAAATTACTTAAATGTGAAATATTAAGACTAGAGAACTATTCACATCAGACATTAAGACTATTCATAGCAGGCAGAGATAAGTGTAATGGCTTTGTTACATTACAATGTTGCAGTAACCTATACATAGTGCTTTGCTTGAAATTGCCTGGATTTATTTCGTTTTTTGCCCCTTGGGGGCAGCATGGGCTTGAAACATACAGTATCACTAAATGGGTAATAACTGGTTTAACATGAATGACACAGTCAGCTTAGAGCAACATTAGCTTTATTGTTAGTTGCCAAATTCATCTGTTCGACTTTGGACAAGTAAGAAATTATAGGAGGTGCACTAGAACAATGAAATCTTCATTTGAAAACCAAAATAATGACAAGGAAAAAGATGCTAAAGCTGAAGGCGCTAGGTGCTAAGGTTATCATTAACATTGCACAGAACCTTCCACATTGTAGACTGTTACTAATTTCATTCACTGTTATTCGATAATAGTTGAAAGCAGTTTTAGGTGGTGGCATGTTCATATTGAGATAACTATGTGTTGTTTTGAATGTTTTTATTTTATTTTATTTCATAAAGCTAAGCTATTGTTAGCTGTTACTAGCTTGGTTAAACATGGCTTACACATCCACATTCCTGCTCTTCCTTTCAAGTAATCAAATGATATATTAAGTTAAAACAAAATATTGGTATTGTAGCTTTAGTTTAAAACGTTCTGCTCCGGTTGTCTAATTTAACTATAAAAGTCTGCCATTCAATTTAAAAGGAATGTGTATGTATTGCTGAAGGAATATTAATACAGCCAAATAAATATTTTTACTAGGGAAATTACATTTGTCTTCATGCAAATAGGAAATAAGTTGGAACCTTACCAAAGAATCAGCTCTTTTATTGCACCAGTAAAAGTACTATAGAATTCAATGGCCTACAACCCCATAAGAGTTTTCACTACTGTACACTTTTTTCTTTCTGGTCTAACTCAGGGTGATAAGTGTGTTCAGCCAGACGAGTGCCCATGTCACCATAATGGTCAACTTTATTACAACAACGACACCATCACCAAAGATTGCAACACTTGGTAATGTATGCAGTTGTCTTATGGCAAAACATTCATTGAATATTTACTTATCTTAAACTCTACTTTATTAATTCCTTCAGTGTGTGTAAGGAACGCCGCTGGCACTGCAGCCAGTCCGCCTGTGCCGGTGTGTGTGTGGCAACTGGTGACCCACACTATGTGACATTTGATGGCCGCTGTTACTCCTTCCTGGGTGACTGTCAGTACGTGCTGGCGAGGGAGACCAGCGGTTTGTTCAGTGTGATTGCAGAGAATGTGCCATGCGGCAGCACCGGGGTCACCTGCACAAAGTCAGTCACACTCAGCCTGGGAAATACTGTCATACATCTGCTGAGAGGTAAGGGGGTCTTTGGACACCACATTACGTGTTTTGATGCTCAAGTTAAGCCATCTTGTCTCTCTCCTTTAGGTAAAGCTGTGACAGTAAATGGGATGCCAGTTAGTCTACCAAAGTCTTATAGTGGCAGTGGTCTGACTTTGGAAAGAGTTGGCTTGTTTGTCTCCCTCTCCTCCCGACTGGGGGTCACTCTGCTATGGGATGGAGGTAGGAAACACAAACATTTGCCTCTTTAAATAATCTGTCACAAAACCCTTTCTTGCTCAGTGTCAGGTGTTTTCTTCTTTTTGCTTATTAATTTATCCTTTAATTATTGGCAAAATATATAAATGGTCTATACATTTTTGCTATCAGTAGCCTATCCATTATTGTTGATATTTATTGTCTAGACCAGGGGTCGGCAACCTTTTTGATATGAAGTGCCATTTAAAAAAAAAAATGTTATCAGCGTGCCAACGATCGATAATTATCAACG